TGTTGTTGTTGTTGTTTTGTTTGTTTGTTTGTTTTTTGGGTTTTTTTGTTTGTTGTTGTTGTTGTTGTTGTTGTTGTTTTTTAACTATACCAGACATGGAATTCTCAGCTTTCCTTATCAGTTTTCTTCACTTCCCCTTTTCCCTTCTGTACCTTCCTTCCAAAACTTCATTACTTTTTCCATCCTTACGCCTCTGCCTAGCAATTTTCAGAGACTAAGAATCAGTCACACAAACCTCACAGGCACATGAACAGACCTCTCTTAATTTGTTCAGCTTCTCAAAACTCCAGCCACACATCTCTCACTGAGGCAGGCAGACAAACATATCAAACACACAGCTTGCCAAATCCCTTTACATCCAAGAAGACTGGCAGCCTTGAAACGATTTTTCCCCCACTTCTTTTTATCTGTATTGTTGGGCTGTTTGGGTATTTACACTTCTGTCCAGCTTTACTGAATTTTAATTGGAGCACAGAAATGTTATAGGTAGTATGACAGCCAAGAAAGAATTGTTTAAACAGTAGTATTGAAAAAAATCCTATTTTTCTAATGAGTTTTAATAAATTCCTTTTGGGCAGCCATGCATCTGGTTTTGGGAAGGGTAGCTCCTTTGTGAAGGTTTACCAGCTTCATGCTTTACCTTTTCTCTCACAACCAGGTCCAAAATTCTGTCTATTTTTAATATTCAAAAATCTATTTTGACAGGGTGATTTCCTATGCTCTTATTCAAAATGATATATTTTTGGTTTATGTGCTTTCTTACATGTCTTTTTCGTACCTCAGTTGCAATGGTACCCTGTAGTGTGACAGGCTAGAAACCATGTAGGGCCTTCGCTAACCTGTATTTTCACCCAGACCTTGTCAGTGGATCATTATACAGCCTTAGGCCAGTCATTCAGCTTTCTTTACTTGCTATAGTATCTGTACAGTGCTTTGAAATCAGTAAGAAAAACTGCTACTTAAATTCAAGGTATTATTCTGCTCACATAGGTTGTCTTCTAGTGTACTCCACTCCAAAAGCATTACCTTCTAGGTTAACCTTACATCTGTGTCCAAAATAGTGACTTTTTAAAGCTTGAACTAGAAAACCTTATAAAGCTAAAGATGTTTTGTGTGTTAACGTTATAAGGAAGTGGAATTATATTTTTTCAGGGGTAGAGAAGTCAATACTTTAAGGAAGGAAGGGAGAACATATCTCACAAACCCGTTTCCCATTCAGACCCAAGTAGAAAGCAAAAAATAGCATGGATAGCTGTAAATAATTGTAAGTGTACAAAGTTGAAAAGAAACAACCACAGGAAAAAAAATATATTAGACTACTCCTTGCACAATTTAAAATACATTGTAAATGGGCGTTCAGGTATAACTGATTATCAGAACATATATGATTAGCTGCTGCAGCATATAAAATCAAGTTTCCTAATAGCTTCAGAGCAAGGGGCAGTAGACCTCCTAAGTGCAATAAATACAGCATTAAGATAAGATAGTCAGAATCTTGAAGCCAGTTTCAATTAAACTCAATTACCAAAGCTGAAGTGACTGTTTACATCGCAGGAACAATCTGCCCAAGGTACTGTAAGCTTCTTACTCGCGGCCTTTTGAACTGTGAACTAAATGTTACAAAGAGATAGACAAAGCTGCATAAGAAACCATAATGCTTAGGGAAGTTTTGATCGAAATGCTTGAGGCAGGATATGTTATCAGCTGATTTATTTGCTGATTAGATCTACAATAAGAATGTGATTAATCATAGGGATCTGGAGTCCCATGCTGTGGACAAGCATCCTTTATTTTAAAATCTGCCTGTGCTAGTCAGAAGGTTTATACCCACATTCTTCTGTGACTCCTAAACTATTTCATTCACACCAAGTAGGTTATTCAAAAAAACATTTAGAGCATTTAAATGATTTCACAGCGACTAGATTCATCTTAATGACATGCATTGTGGAATGCTTATGCAAACCTTTTAACTGGCAGAGTTTAGGGGATTTGTGTGGCAGAAGGTACCACCAGGTAATGAGAAGCTAAAGAACAAACCAATGACTCTGTTCTCCTCCGTGGGGAAAGCTAGATGTCAAGTGTGAGTCTTTGCATACCTTCAAGGATGTTACCCTTAGGGAAGGTATACAAGACTCTTTCCTTCACTTCAGAGAACACACTCAGTTCCAGGAATCAAGGGGTTTACACAATCAAAGTTATCATAAGCTGTGGTTCAAAAACATGTATGCTAGAAATAACATTTGAGAAGCAAATATTAGTAAATTATGTATTCCTCTTGAAATCAATAACATTTGAATGCAAAAATATCACATAAATTGATCACTAACACTGTGTAATCAAATAATAAGCAAGGGAAATTTCTTTGAATCAAATTGATTTAAATCCTTCATTTTAATCACGTTTTGAATCAGCAAGTAAGATTTGCTGACTTAGATAATTGATTCTAATCTTATTTTGCATTTGTATTTTACTTCAGAAAAAAGAGTAATTTATATGAGCTGGAATAATCTTCGGTAAAAAAAAAAGATTGGCAGGCAGCATAAAGATTTCTTTTTTTTTTCTTTCTTGTCCAGGTGGCATATGATAAATGAAAGTTCTTTTAGGGTTTGAACAGTTTAAAATATATTTTTTTAGATTCTTAAACTTGTTTTGTGGTAGAAAATTATTTAAAATTTTTTAGGTTTTTTTAAAGATGACTTGTATTTTCTCTCAAATGGGATAGAAAATAGAGTGCAACTCAAAACATATGGTGAAATTTTAAGTCTTTTTCTTGGTTACATGAAGGTACCATAAAATATAATAGACACATATATACAGTAAAATATATCAAATATATTAAAATGTTAAATGACTGATTCATTACAGAAAACAATTTATAACTATGTTTAATACAGTTCCTGAAAAAAATAGGCCAAACTTTCAAAAATATATATTTAATCATGTAGATGATGTCTGATGGGATTTTGAAAATCACAGTATTGATTTTACATGTGTTTATGCATATTGGAAAATTTCACTTGGATGTAAGTTTGTGTTTTAGTGCCTACAGAAGCTAAAAACACCTCTGTGAGAGCCCTTTCTTTCTCTTTTAAATAAGATTTCCTATGCTTTCCCATTACTATATATTGGTACACTGAAAGAGAAAAATAATGTTTTCAAACCTAGTCAGCTTGCCAAACTCAAACAAAAAATATTTTCTCTGTGTTTGCTTCTGAAACTGAGATCAAAACGAAAAAATGTCTATGCTGTGTACTAACATTAAAATAGATTAAATAATATCATAACAGCTGAAAATAAAGTTATTCAGTACTTTTCATCACAATGACCTAAAATTAGATATTTTCCCTTTTTCCTATTGTGAATGCCTGTGGATAGTTCACTGATTGTTGCTCTACAATGGAGGCTGTTATACAAAAGATAATCAATAAACCAATTCTATCATCCTTTTGCCGCCACTGCTGGTGTGTAACATTTAACAGTTATTTAACATGGAGACATTTGAAATGTCAGTGTTCTTTGCTATTTAACATTTTCTCTTACAGGATGATTCTATACATAACACAACACGAGTCTGTTTCTTATAACTGAAAAATGCTTACTAATTAATAATGGAATCAGGAATCAATGACTTCATGGCTACCCAAAACGATTAAGAAAAAGATGTTAGGTTGTCAAAAAAGCTAAAAAACAGTTTCTGCCTGATGACCCTAGTCTTTCTCTATGGCAGAACAGCAGACCTCATGAATAGGAAAGTAACAGCAATTGTTATCTTGACATAACTTCCAAAAAGACTCACTCACCTTTTTTCTAACCAAGATGATCGAATTCAGACTACATATATTTATAAGTGGCTGAATAATCAAAGACAAAAATGATCTCACAATCAGCTCAACTTGTAATCACAGGTAGACTTATGTCAGGGGAACTGACAGAACAGCGTTTTGAAACCCTTTTCGCTTGTTATTTTGGTGATTCACTGATTAATAAATACACTGGGATTGTAAGTATAGTGTGAAAATGTGTTATTGTCAACTTAATTGTTGGAATATTCTATCTGACATAGGGATTTATATCAATAGAATGTGAAAGGTATTTTTAAATCATGTATATAAGCATGCAGCTTCATTCTTAGATCAACAATTCAGAGGAAAATGTCATGAAATGTGCCAAAGGAAAATAGCTTTTTGGGAAAAGTGCTGTGAAAGCTACTTAGATAAGCAAAACTAATATACATGTCTCCATAATATTTAGAATTATGGTTTTTTGCACATATATATATATAGTCAAATGGTTGTGCAGTCAGAACTTATACATCAACATTAAAGAATAGTCATATCGTTTATATTTAAAAGGCAATAAACAATCAGTTCTAGGATTTTAAAGTTTAACCATATTTTTGTTCAGTGAAAGTTTTTTTTTTTGATGTATGGAAAAGCATAAAGGGTCATTTAAATTGTAAGAAATATGATACTTGAATAGTTAGGGGGCATAAACTTAGATCCTTTTATGCTATTCATCTCTACTGAATTAAAATAAGGACGATTCAGATAATTATCTGAATAAAAATGAGCACTGGGTTAAGCTGATGTTCTCAAGAAAATCAAAGAACTGTATGAAGCAAATTCAAATATTTTGGATGTACTATCTATTGATACTCAGTCTTTTTCTCCTTCCTGTTTTTTTGTAAAAGTTAGAAGTGAATAGATATGCTAAGAGTAATATTTACCTTTTCCCCTATGTCAATAGGAAAGAAGAACTTTTCCAATTAATCAGATAAATAGTTTTTAGACATTTTATTTGATGCACTCTAAATTACAAGAACACTAAAAATTAAATATTATAAATTGCTTAATATCTGAAATATCTGAAGCTGACATTTATATAGCAATACACTACTGCACATATTAACTTGTCTCCTTTCCTTATGGAGGCCCTCCTCATTCGTATATTAATGCACACAGTAGATCTAACTTTCTTTGATTTTGTGCTTTTCCTTTCAGGTTTGGATATATTCTTCATAAGGATGAGCCTGTGCTCCAAAAAATTGATCTAGAAACAATGTCGTACATCAAGACAATTAGTTTAAAGGATTATAATTGCATTCCTCAGTCGCTGGCTTATACACATCTTGGAGGTTATCTTTTTATCTGCTGTAAGCCTGATACTACTGGGGCTGTCCTACCACAGCTCATAGTGGACAGTGTTACTGATTCCGTGATTGGTTACAATGGCGACGTAACAGGCACACCACATATCTCTCCAGATGGACACTACCTTGTCAGCATTGATGATGCAAAAGGTCTCATGAGGATCCAGTCCATAACAATGAGAGGAGAAATACAGGATGCATTTGACATTCACACTAATTTGCACATATCTGATGTAGCTTTTCAGCCATCATTCACTGAAGCTCATCAATACAACGTCTACTGCAGCTCCAGCACACAAACTGACGTTCTCTTCATGGAGCTCTCCTCTGGCAAGGTTAAGATGGTGAAGAGTCTGAAGGAGCCCATCAAGGCAGGCGAATGGCCTTGGAACAGTAAGAACCGTCTTATAAAAGACAGTGGCCTTTTTGGGCAGTATCTCATGACCCCTTCTAAGGAATCTCTGTTTATCCTGGATGGACGGCTCAATAAGTTAAATTGTGAAATCACTGAAGTTGAGAGAGGAAACACAGTAATTTGGGTTGGAGAAGCATAAGGTTCTATGTTAGATATTTACTGAATTAATAGTTTTACAGTACACTGAACTTAAATTACACCATTATTCAAATTTACACCATTTTAATTTTAAATTGCAGGACCCTTCTATACTCATTATTTCTTTGACTTGAACACAATTTGAATCAACTTCCACATAAAAGTTACTAAAACAGTGGCTATTTGATAATGGTACTCCTTATCAATTATCAGCTGACATTGTGTTGTTTGACCAAAATTACTAAATACTGAAATCAGAGGTAAGTATAATAAATTATTTTAAAGGAAGTAGGAAGAAAAACACCCCAAAAAAGCTTCAGACAATTTAATATGATACTTTGCGTTTGTAAATGGAAGACTTTAATATGATTCAAATTTTTGTTTGGTTTGCTTCAGACACAAAATAATAGCTGTTGTACAACCTTTGACTCCTTAAACTGAAATGTTATGTTCTGTTTTGTCCAGTCCACTGTTAAATCTTTTTGTGCCTTGAAGCGAAAGTCTCACAAGAAAGATAAACATAGAAATTATAAAATTTATTCCCACTTTAGCTACAGGATTGCTTCTCATTGGAAGGAAAGTTTTGGTATCAAATTTCTAGTCTCAAGTTGTGGAACATGTATGGAGAGAAGAAAAAAAAAAAGAGAGAAATTATATTTGCAGTGTTTTCCAATCACTGCATTTTGGAGTTTATTTTTATGGTGAGTCTTAGTTGAAAGAGCTGCTTGCAGAAGCTTAACCTTTTTTTTAGAAAAAAATAGATATTAGATTTTTCAGCTATCACAGGGTTGCATCAGCAAGGGATTTCAGGTCTACTGAAAAGAAATATCTCACATCCTTTCAGAGTAAACCACATCCTAAAAACCTGGCATCACAAAGCTTCACTTATATCGTTGAGGAAATTGTTAATTAAAACTAAAGAAAACGCATTTTAAGAAAATGAAAACGCAGCGACTGAAGTCTACAACAAGTAGATAACATTTTTCCTTATTCATTGTACCATTGATCCATATTTTTTAAACCATTTGGTTAGCTCAACAGGTTTTCTATTCCATACATCCAATTGGATTAGTGCAAAAAAACCCAAACAACAAAACCTTTGTATCTTTTATAGTTTGTTTACTTAGAATTCTAATATTTACACTGGTTAAATATGTAAATGGAAAAAATAAGTTTCCCAGAAGTAGAGTAACAAAACAATAGGATCAGAAAGCCAGCAGTAAACAGCTATCCAGACTCAGAGAAATGACTTAGAAGTTTGGGAGTATTTTTATTTTTATTATGTTTTTGCTAAAGAATGCTTATAAGCTCTTAAACTGACCTCTGTTTACTGAAGGCAATCAGAAAAAAAAAAAATCTTTTTTTAAACAAAATTTTACTCTGATTTAGATTGTGTAAAATTGCTTAGAAATCTGGGATTTTTTAGCATTGTAATCTTGTGTGCATTTATCATCCTGACCTGTGTGGTACAGTAGATCTCTCTTTAGCTTGAGCAAACCTCCTGGTAGGTAGATTTAACTGAGATAAGAGTTTGCTTACATTTCTAGCTACTGAATCTTTCCTTTTTAACAGCTCTTCTCCATTGTGAACAAACAAGAATCATGTAAGCTGTCTGTTACTCACTTAATTGCAGTAGTCTGTCTCATGCATTTTTTGTTCTGTAATTTATACCACGTGAATGTTCTGTATGTAGAAAATGCTTGACAAAAGGAGAATAAACCCCATAAATTTTAAACAGTACTGACTTTGGTGAATGGTCAAATATAGCCACACTGAAGTGGCAAGTAACACAGATTTTATTTGAAAGTGCCTATTATTTATATATATATATTTATGTATAAAAATAGATGTATTTTCACATATATATATTTATATAATAATAAGCAGTGTGGAAAGAAAACTTTTTAGAAAAACTTAACTAACTGGAAAGGTTTCCTTTGGCTGCTGCAAAGAAAAGCTCATCTATTACCACAAGCTCATCTATTAGCATATCTAAAGCACAAGTACAGGCTGGGAGGAGAAAGTATTGAGACTAGCCTTGGAGAGACAGACTTGGGTGTGTTTGTGGATGAAAAGCTCAGTATGACTCATGCGAGCTTCAGCCCAGAAATCCAACTCCATCCTGGGCTGCATCAAAAGAGGCATGACCAGCAGGTCCCTTCCAAGCCTAGCCATTCTATGATTCTATTAATCAATCAGGCACAGAGTAATCAGAGTGCAGACAGATGTCTATTCTAAAGTCTAGCCTCTGGAGCTAAAAACCTCTAGTATAGAAGTTGTACTAACATACAAGCCCAAAACAAGAAGCCTGCACTCTAGTAGCATAGCTAAACCACTCTCTGTCCAGTCTGCTCAGTGTAAGGGGATTCTACACTTACTGTGCCCTCTCCTGGCCTTTTAACATTAAACATTCCCGTGCTGTACATGTTCTCTCTTCCAATCTCTATCAAAAACCAAGTCAGTTTTCAGTTTTGGCAGCACCTTATTCTTTTGTATTAGCAATGTTTGGCAGCTGGAGCAGTTTGAAAACTTGGTATGTTGCTTATTATGTGAAAAAGGAGACAAAACACTCTACTAATAAACTTCACAGATTTAACTACGTCGATAACATCACAGTAATTTCTGTAGTATAGAAACTATCCCCATCAGCTTTGAATTCTTGACTGAAACCAATTTCTATATTCCCAAACCAAGAATATTGTTGACTTTAGCTAAAGCTGTTTGTCAAAGGACTTCTGCCAGTTCCCAGTACTTTTTTTAGCTAGTCCAATGTAATAGCTCAAGGACTGCAGTTTGCTTCTGTCCCATTGTTTGGAACTTAAAAAGGTTTCTGGTGTATATGAGTCATTTGATCCCATTGAATAAATGAAAAATCAAACACTGTCTTCAGTGTTTCCAGTTTTCAATTATACAGTGCAACAGTTGGTTTTGAATTCTGTCTTTCCTAATTCCTAATTAGGAAAGCAGAGGCAAAAAATACCTTCTCTTAGCCTGTGGTAAACACTCTTTTTCACAAGCTATTACAAACTTTCAAGATTTAGAATTTCCTTGCAGAAATACATTAGAGAACAGTAGTGGAAGATAATGGAACTGCAATGGAAGAAGCCAAGTGTACACTACAACAAAGCTCTGTCACAGCTGCTCAAAGGTTTCACTATGTTCCTGTACACTAAAAATATGAGAAGAACATGTGAGGACAAAACGACTGCTCTTCGCCAGGGATCGTGATGATAGAGCTGCTTTTCTTAAGGTATTTAAAAACTATAATATTTATGACACATGGAGAAAAGGCTCTCTCAGGCTATTTTAAGAAACATCAAAGAGAAGAAAAAGTGGTGCCAAAGTTAGGAAATATCCTAGTTTTTCCTTCGGTTTGGTAGTAGACATTTTTAATAGTTCATGCCCAAAGGTATCTTTAAAAATAATATTCCATACTGATAAACAGCTAGTTATTTGCTGCACTACTTTATGTATATCAATCAATATATGAGGGATTAAAAATAGAGATTTAGTGCTGTTTTTTTTTTTTAAAAAATTCTTTTATAAAAAAAGTCTTTTATGGAATGATTATCACAAACTTCTTTCTCACATTTATTTATAAAATCCTTCAAAACTTTACTAAGTTCTCTCTTAAAGCAGTAAAAGTGTCCAGCATAAATTAATTCATTACTATACTATTTGTTGTGATGTAATTGCCTTCAATAATTCTACTTCTTCTTTGATAATAACCAGGCTGTGTATGTAAACAATGGTCACAACTACTCACCATTTTTTTCAGTGAAGTTAGACAAATACTTGTTCACCATGGTTGCTTTCATAGCTGTCACAATTGAAGTTCAGCTTTCTCAAATACAGATGGCCGAACTGAAAGATTTAATCTGAATGAGGGGAAGAGCTGGTACCTGTTTCCATTTTTTGCTAACAGCCCGACGAGGAGAGCTGACAAAAATGGGCTTTTCAGCCTGGAGAGGAGACATCTTCGAGGAGGCCTAATAGCAGCCTGCTAGTACCCTTTAGAGATTATAAAAGACATGGAGCTAGATTCTTGACATCTGTGCATAGCAGGAGGACAAGACACAGCAATATGTATTGAATCAGGAGGTTTAGGCTGAATACAAGGAAAAGCTGTGATGACAGTGTAGCATGGGAGCAGGTTGCTCAGAGAAGCTGTGTTTTTCAACACCTGTCTGGATTATACCCATCTAAATTTTAGCTGAACTGGCTTTGATCAGGATGTTGGACTATTGACCTATCAACGGCCCTCCGAACCTGAATTGTCTCATGATTCTATGATTATGACTTGGGGATGGAAACAATAGTTGATTTGATTTGTTTCAGTTGTTTAAGCATCTGAATGAGCTTGCACAGCAGATATTTAAATGTAAACCTGCAAGTGTTAAGTTTGGTCTGAAGTATGGCCTAAGCAAAACTCAAGAAAGAATATGTTTTGTCACTTGAAATCCTTAGCTCTGAATATCCTATTTTAAACCAAAGATACTGTCATTTTGAAATCTGGAACACATTTCTTGACTTCCAGGAAATCCCAAGATGATAATAGAACTTGCAAAGTTGATGGAATATGTAAAGGTAAGTGCTCCTTTCAAAATATATGAAAAATAGCTTTAGCATGGAAAAGGAGGACTTGAAAAAACCACTATAGACAAAATCTCTTACTGCTCTCAGTATATGTCCAAGTGTGACCACAGCCACTTAAGTGTATCTTTGGTCTCAAGTTTTCAAGTAAAAGTGTTCTGACCATTTATAATATGGTTCAGTAGTGGAATAAAAAGATTTTTTAACTTGCTGACCAATTTCTGATAGAAGAACTCATGTCTTAATGATAGGTCATCCCTTCGAAGAAAACAAATATGGAGAAAGTCTTGTTCACCTCTCATCAGTTTGTACTTTGCATTTTGGTCTTCATTTTAAGCAGGTCCTTAAAAAAGCTATGAAGACTTTTGTTTTGAGGTTAGCAATTAAAACGTAGAATATATAGGAATTAAAAAAAGAAATATTTAAATATTATTCATCTATAATGGCCTATAAGTATTAATTAAATTTCCTGTGAATACAGTTGTTAAACAGGGAAAAGCACAGGCTTAACTCTGAATCTAAAAATCCTGATTTCAGCCAAATTCAGAAAAAGACAAGATAGAGCATACAAGGTGAGAGAGAGGAAAAAGTAATTCTGTACATTAATACCTACTAATTCAAGAGATGTAAGATGGATTCCAGCAGTTGAGAACCTTTGCACTTGTACCACATCGACAGTGTTTCACTGTGACTGCACCACAGCGGAGGAAGACTTGGAGGAGAAGGGCAAAAATAATGAGCTCAGGGAAGAATGTCAAGAATGAATGACCACCAATTATTGAAAAGAGAGCTGCACTTTTAGGGGGACTGGACAGTAAACTTTGTTTTAGATACACAGCTGTACCAGTGAGTCATAAGGCCATGTAAACAGCTTTCCCCAAGATAATTAATAGAGAGTACTGCTGAGCTAGCCAGAGGAGTACGGGGTGAGAAAGTGTAGAGGTGGCTTAACCTAATGTTAAATTTGAAAACCGGCCAGCTATTGAAATGAACTTTGAAGAGAGCAATAGGCTTGTGCTGGTTCAATCCTCGTACTCCTCTGAGTGACTG